TATTTGTTAATAACACATTGCGAACGAGAGAAGCCCCTGTTAGTTGCAACTACGTTAACTCTGTTATCAAATATTTTGAAAATGGTATAGTGCCGTTTTGGTTAGTAATCATAAGTTTATACACACTAAGAAAAATCTAGCTTTTAAAGGTAAGTTGAAATCGATATGATAATTGATATTCTGTTTGAATATTTTCCGCTTGATTTTAGCGGGAGACGAAAATAGTGTAAAAACCTTTTTAATTTCACTGAATGTACCTAAGAACGAGTTACATTGCTCAAATCAAATGTATTAAGCTTCTCATAAAATTAAGAGAAATATAATTGAGATTAAACTAATCATAACTCCTATCACAGTGGTGATGTTCAGCTCACCATAAAGCTCTGATGAACTTTCAAAAATAACATTTTACATTATCAGTTTTTCATTGATAACATCAGTAATATTAAGTGACGGTGTGGTTCAGCAATGAAATCGTTTATGAGGTTTTGAAATTTTTTGTCAAGTAAGGTGGTTTCTTTAGATTACTTAGCATGAAATTAATTTCGATCACTGATTCACATCATTTGGTGAGGCATTTGAAAGGTTTTTGAATTTGGTACGCTTTTATATCTGAAACCGGGCCACAGATGAAATTCCGGAAATTCAGCCTTTGAAGCTAGCATGATTTCATTTAACTATTAATGGTTGTTATTGGGATTGCTTCTATTATTCTTGTGAAATAAGTAAGCAAAAATTTTCTGACAGCAAAATGAGATTAAAACAACATCTCAGATTATGATCAACTTAAATCTAGTTATCGATGTGGCAAGTACCTGTAAATGGGAAGTGATTTTCAATTTGAATTAACTTTTGGGTAAACTATTAAAAAACAAACAGTCTCATAGATTTAGTTGTTGAGTCATTTCTAAAGTATACACAGACAAACCACCATCTTAATCTATAAAACTTAAAAATGTAGTCTAGTGATTTGAACTTCAACTTTCGAATAATATCACAAAAATGAAAGAGAATGTATTTGTAAAATCTCAGAGAATAAATTCGAAGCAAATCCAATGTTTCACCTGGCAATTCGATCTAAGCCTTTTCAAGGAATTATAATTAAACATCCAAATTCTGATCTTTGATCAGATCAAAACATTGATTCTGAATAATTGAATGACAAACAACTCATATTTTACATTTTTCGAGAGTTTTATCTGGGGAATAATATTTACAATCAACAGCATTAATTTGGTTATTGGGAAAATGGTAATGAAGCCTTTCTAAATTATTTTCATACTTTAAATGCATGATTTTATGTTTGTGTCAATGTGAAAGATAATATCGTAAATGTGTGTTTGAGATGTCTCTTTTTTCATTTTCAAGTGTAACAAAAACAAGTAATTGAAGATAAATGTGAAATCTATTAAAATGTGAGCCTTAAACCTTTGTTCACGTTTTATTTGATACGATATTACTTTATTGATTACCCTAGTATGAGTACAGTCTATGATAGTGATTATTTTATCATACAAAAATGATCTACATAATTTCTGTCGAATAACTCTAATAACTTCATTCAACCTAGACAATATCTGGAAAGAGAGGAACTCAGAGAAGAAATATTTTCTTTTCAGTCAGTTTTTTAAATCATAACTCTACATTAAATAACTAGGAAAATCGACGCCAATCAAGTAATAGTGTGTTAGATAACAGTATTACAAAATCGAGAGCCAAATTCATTAGTCCATATAATCTAGATCACCGTTGAAAACCTGGAAGCACTGGACTACCGTTTCGTCCTAGTGTGACACTCCTTAGCAGTACGCACCAATGATCCCACTCATGAGAAGCAAACCAAAAACCTTCAGCCTCGCACGCAAACGTTTAGACTCTAGACCTCGAGTCGGCATCCAACGGTGATAATTTTTTAACATCAATCGATCCATGATCTTGCGCAACCCTTCATCCATTATTCTGGGTTCGAGCCCTGCGTGCGCGATCGTGGATGCGCACTGCTGTGAAGTCTCATACTAGGATGAAATGGACGTCCAGTGCTTCCAGGTCTTAGTGTTGGTCTAACACTAGTCGACTCATGAATTCATCTATTAAAATTACTGCAATCTCCACAAATCCACATTCTGATAAAATCCAAAAGTGTTTATGCAAATAACTAAATAAGAGTGGATAAAATGAATAATATTCGATGATCATTTTTTGGTATCTTAACAGATATTGTGAAGAGATGCTGTGTAGATAATTGAGTAACTACTCAACGAATGAACAAATCTCTTTGAATATTGCTTAACTAACATTGAAATGGTTCAGGAAAACAGTAGATCGTAAAACCATTGTAATCTCAATGATTCATTGATATTGCTAAAACGTATCCAATATAAAATAATTACACATGAAATGCTCAATTTCCAAGTTAATGGAAATTACGTAGAATCCGAATAATAGAGAGAATACTATTAAAAACAGACACAAGGAAACTGACTACTGTAATGATGTTTAACAGAAAGCTAATTTTGTTGTAAACATATAATTGCTTTGAACGAAGAATATTCTTTTCGATAAGTTCTCTTCAGGTTCTACAATTATATATCCAAATTAATAATCCGAAAAAATGGCCAATGGCATAATGCTCTGAGGGAGAACGGGTATCCCAGAAAATTTATAATTAAATATATGATCTTTAATGTGAAAACAGGCGAATTCCAAACGGTCAAGAAGAAGTCCTTGTTCATGCGCCTATAATTCAGGGGGGGATGCCGCTAGCGAAATACTTGCTCAGAGATTACGCAGATCTATCCAAAAATCTTTCAACGCAGGTGAACTACGTTTGGTGTTTTCTACGCGTCCAATGGTGACACCGAGGCTTAAAGATGAAGTTCCTAGAATGACCAATTCATTTTGTATTTATCAGTTCGACTGCTCCTGTGGAGCAAGTTATATTGGTCGAAGTTCTAGGAATTTACATTTTCGTGCTCGTGAACACCTCCCAGCGTGGCTAAGCAAAGGTCTGATGAGGAAAGTAAACAGCTCGATTTTGGCCCATTTAGTACAAACTGGTCATATAAACCAACTGGTCGTATAAACCAATCTTTTTCAATTATTTATAGGGTCAGTAACTTTTTGCCTAATCTTGTCAGGCTTAAAGTCCTTCAAACGGCGGAGGCAGTAGCCATCAGAATGAAGAAACCTGAGCTATGTGTACAGAAGAAATATCTCCAACCCCTACTTCTCTCTTGGCCAACCACAAGGCCAATTGATGAACAATCATCTTAGCTATTGTATGACCTAATTTGACTATGTACTTACGACCATTCGTAGTCAAATGTAATTGTCTCTCTTATCTTTATTCACAAATTATTATTATCATTACTATTATTGGTTAAATATCATTATTAATCCCTCCTATACATGATTCATTCACATCGCATTGATCCCTCCTTATTACGTCTCACTGATTTTTCACACATTTAGTCTTCCACTTGATCGAATTGTAATTGCACTATCATATCTCTCTCACCCTATCTGACCCATATTTATATTCTGATCACAGATCTTACATTTTCACTTTACGTATATACAGATTCAAGTGAACATTCTATGTGAGTCATATCAACATTAACTATTTGGTTTGACAATCCTAAATTTACATGCTTTAAAACTATGTACTTTGCCTTTAACCTGGCCAATTTTTCGGATTATTAATTTGGATATATAATTGTAGAACCTGAAGAGAATTTATCGAAAAGAATATTCTTCGTTCAAATATTTGTCTTTTAATATGAGTGGGATCTTTAAACGAATATAATTGCTTTACTGAAACAAAACATGTGTGAATTATTCAGATTCATTTTTAAACAAACTATATTATTTTGAAGGTTGATATCCATCTACATCCATCTACAAATAGTGTCTTCATTCATGTTTAAATAAATAAAACAAAAACAAATTTTAAATTGTTAAAGCATCTAATTAACTTTTTTTAAAACAAAATAAATATCTGCTAACAGAGAAGGTTTTGTATATGCTTCAACATATCGTTAGTGTTAGTGACTTCCGGAGAAAACCATTTATCATTTATATACTTATAGAAGTCGACCCTAGTAATTATTTCTTTTTTCGTTTAAAGTATAAGAACATTTATAAAATATCTTCGGAATGGAAGTAAATACGAAAAAACGTATCAAAGTTAATTATTTCGATTTGTTTCTGTACAATTATGTAATCTGTGACTTGAATATTATTATGAATTCACTATTGATATCGCAATAGTGAGATGAAGTAGTTTTACTGTGACAGGAGAAAGAATTAGAACATATGAATAGAAGAAGCACATATACCTAACTTACATATCACTGTTGTGCACTTTATTGTTTGTTTCACAAATTATCAAGTTCGTTGGAAAGTAATAATATTTGGAGTAGACAGTAAACTTAATACAATGTCAAAGTTTCTATGGAGATAAAAAGGCTAAATGAAATATTGATTAAGGAAGAGAGCTATACGATGTTAAACTGTTCATATTTCTGAGAGAGCTTTTTTAAATTACATGGAAAACGTTTTATGATTAAATATTTATTTACAAAAGTTTCTTCAATTCGAGCTATCTCTTTCCAATTTTTCCGACTGATAAAGTTTAATTGATATTTGAAAAAGCTCTAGTTTGTTTGATAGTTTAACAGATTTCAAGAGAGGTTCTAGTTGATTGAAACAAACGTTTATAGAATGAGAAAATTTTTTAACTTTTGTCATTAAAATACAACCTTTAAAGATACTTTAGAATGGTAAATTGCTTTTTTTATTCGTATGAGCTTGGTAATTGATCGTACAGTACAAAGAGTTGGATTTCAGATAAGTATTTATAATTACAAACGTTTTATGGTTTTTCAGTTTAATTTCTACTGAATGTTATCATGAAGTATTATTCTGTGAAGTGTTTGAATAATCAACAAAAAGGATGCTCTTAAAACATTTACGTTAAAGAATGACTATTATTTACTTACCAGTCCTGTATTTGATTCCATGCCTTCAAATAAACTCCATAAAAAACCAGGTCCATAACGGCCAACATGTTTTCCAATTTCAACATTTTGTAAAATATGATTACAACTAGATAAAGTAGGTGTATGCGGTGGTGAACGTCTTAACGATAATCGGGACATCCTTCTTGATAGGGTAGAATGAAATGAAAACACGTGGTCTACAAAGAGGAAAAGTAAGAACTATGAAATATGAGTAGAACAGCAGTAATAATCTATCTGTTTTTGTCATAATATTATTTGTATAAATCAATCATGTGTTTAGTTTATTAATTCGGTGTGAAGTGTATTCAATAACCAAGTGATCGTAAGCGGTAATTATTAAGAAAAAAATCTGTAACATCATTTTACGCGTCATTTATGTGTTGTCAAAAACAGATAGGAAGTAGTTGTATTATTTCTTGTATTATTTCAAACAAAATGATTGCGAAAATGTTAAACGAATCAAGGCAATTTGAGTCAATAATCACTACTACTATCATAACTACTATCAGTACACCTGTCTTCCCACTATCAACTTGTACTTTTAACTATTATACTCCGTGACGTATTCTATTTCATTGTGATTACTGACCTGGTATTGCATACTACTTATATATGTCAACACAGAATATACCACAGTTTGAATACAACTGAGTTATATAAATTTAACATGTCATTCAACCACTGAGCTAAACGACATGTGTTTAAATGTGTATGATGATTAATTCTAGAGACTGAAAAAAATTTTCAAATTCAATAATCTTGTAGTTTCGAAAAGATTTGTCATCAGAATATAAGTGATAGATAAAAGTCCATACCTTTTTTAGTAATCTGAATACTATGTAGTAACAAGAAGTCAGATAAATGGTTGGCAGCAAATCAAATAATATGCTTCAAGAAACCCTTGAACCATTATTAAAAAAAATAGGGATAAAAAGATTTAGCAAATATTGGTTTAGCTAAAAATAGCACTTATCAAACGTGACGAAGTCAAAAGTATGTTATTGATTTGGAGAGCCAATAAGAGGTAGCTTAATGAGAAAGTCAGTTGATGGCAATCAGAAGTGACCTATAGGACAAGTGTATTTCATTAACTAAGAATTGGATCAATTTCCCAAAGATTAGAGTGGTATATATACGAATCAGTATTTGTGCATTTTGTTCGGTGGAAAATACACTTTCTCGCTAACTCTTGTGTTCGCGTTCAAATAGTCAGTTGGGGGTTAGTGCGTAACATACCGTGTATCAGTATCTGATTTTGGACACCGCCCGTCACAACAGTTATTCAGACATATTAGACAGTTTTAAGCTAAAATAGTATATCTAATATCTTATCGAGTAAGTATCGTTTAAAAGGAAATCAAATTTCCAGCTGTTTTCATAGACAGACAAATTCCCTTGAGGAACAATAGAATGTATTAAAATAGAATAAATACAACTATGACAGCCTATATGCACTGAATTTTGTTGTTATTCTCATAGTAAAAAAAACTTTCTGTTGCGTGACCATAAATCCTATTTAGTAATTTCTTTCCCTTATCAAAATGCATTGTTAAACTCTGTTAAAAAATGTTTAACATTACTATGAACGATAAGTGGGCAATATTTCATTCAAACGACGTATTTTGTACATTTGTAGATAGAAATCTGTTTATTCAGTTGATGTACGAAGACAGAGAGAGAAAAAAACGAACATGGTTAAGGTTTAATTAAAGGTTTGAAAATTTCGAATGTTAATTCGACAATGCATTTAAATAGGCTCAAAGATGAAAATACATAAGTTGATCGACTACTAAATGATAACACATTTTCATCCTATTGGTCTCTCTATCCAAATGATATTTCACTAATTATGTGATATTAGTTCACTCAGATGTTCTACTCCGTGAAAGTTATGGGGAAAATCTCTAGAAAATAAACATCGAAGCCTTGGTTATTACTTGCTAATCGATATAGGTTTTTAATCTAACTATTAGGCAGCTAGTCCCACCTTATATCATGCCAATCTCGTCAATGCATATTTAATTGACATCTGTATGGTAGTTAAACAGTGGAAATTAACTATTCTATGGTAGATAGTCAACATTCTAACAAAATAGATGAAGCTTTTTCTGTTTTATTTTAAGTTCCGAAAAATCTACCTCAAGGAGCTAGATTACGACTACTCTACATAGACGATGCCATCTGGATCAACTTCAGAAAACCAAACTTATGTATCCAGAAAAGATATATCCAGCTTCTATGTTTACCTTGGCCTATGACTGGAGCACCGGATACCTAAACTAAATATTATAAACCTCTCCCCTTTTTTCACCTTTATCTTAATCTTCACATCCATCATTCCCAATTCGTTTATCGTAATTACCTTGATAACACCCCTTTTATTACATATTATATTCACATAACAATCTTATTATTATTACTATTACTATTTATCATTATTATCCCAATTGACAAGATGAAATTCTCCTAATATGCATTTTATTCACACGATTTTTTTGCATTTTCAGTTTTCCTATATTACTATTATACTGATTGTGACTGGACACTTTATTGCAGATCATTTTGACCTTTATTAAATGACCTTTCTAAATTACAAATAATACAATTTTGAAGTATATATGTTGTAACAGATGCAAATGTTCACCTTTTTTTTAACATATAGTATTGTCAAATTAATTAATGCATGTCTCATTTTGGCCTTTGTAAATTATCTCAATAATGATGGACTTATAACCGTAGAGCCTGATGATGAAGTTATTGAAAACGATTGTTCGCTGAAATATTGTTCATTTTTGAACATTCTATGGGGATCTTTAAAGTGCTAAAATGTAACTGTTTGTTATATATCGTTGTTGCTGGTATTTATGTTTAAAAGTAATCAATAGTTCAATTGTGAAGGCAGTTAAGTATACAGTGATAGCCAAATGATTTAACGGACTTGGATACCATTTTCGTGAGGTTGTGGATAAAGACTAATGATCTATCTTAAATCGTGATTTAGATAAATAAAGGCTCAAGAAAATAATGCATTTCATGTCATAGATAATTTTACAAAGCCATCGTGAATAATGCTTATTTAAGGCCATGCTTACTTTCAGCGACATAAATCATTCTACGAAATTAGCATTTAGAGCAAATAACTAAAAAAAAATCATGGTGGTTGAATTTTTGAGCAAAATATCCATGATTCACATGATGTTTTTGTATTTTATTTGGATTAATAAATGACAGCTTACACTAGAAAGTTCTATTTGGTTTTCAAAATGTTAATTGCAGAAAATGTTCATAAGTTTTGAATTCAGTGACGGTGAGTGAAATCTGAAGTTTCTCACGAGTCGATCTAAGCTAAAGCAACATTGAGAACTTGGAAGCACTGGATCCTTATTTCGTCCCAGTATGGGACTCAGCAGTGCACATTCGCGATCCCGCACGTGGAATTCAAACACAGGATCTTCCGTCTCGCTCTCGAATGCCTAATTTCTAGACCAATGAGCCGGCATCCAAATCTGAATTTACTTAAAACTAATTGTTGTCTTCGCTTGATGTTGCTTGCTTGTATCTTCCCATTGTCGTTTAGAACTCATCAGTCTGTTATTGGCATATATGCGTCCTTTGTGGATTGCCTCAATGTTGCCTTAAGTCACTATCCATCTTTGTTTATAATGCATGTGAACTATGGCAATATCAAGGCAATCTGCACAGGATGCACATATACTAATAACAGACTGATCAGTTGCAGTCTTAAACATCAATGGGAAGATTAAAACAAACAATACCAGGTGAATTTAAAATTCACCCCATTGCACCAGCAAGTGGCTGTCAGGACTCAGTAGCTAAGTGGATAACGTGATAACGTTTGAAGCAAACGGTACTGGGTTCGAGTCCCAGAGTGAACATCAACTCTGAGATGCAGGTACATCCAGCTGACGAGTCTAAAATAGGACGAGACGCGCGTCCTGAATTCCACTGATAGCCACCATACATCTTTGTCTAACCGTTGTCTGTTTTAAAACAATAGATATTCAGTTCAAAAGTGTGTTTTGATTACGTTGAATAATTTGTTTTGGGGAATTTGTGGCATACGTTTTCAATAAATAATTCCTAGTTATATATTATGTTTGTGAAGCACCTTTAACTTCTATAGAAATAATTCTAGATTACTCTTGCACAAAGAGTATAGATTCGGTTATACACATTTTGATTTTCATTAACTTAGCATTATAGTGTTGATCATATCTGGTGTGGTCGGTTAATTACTACTTCAGGATATTGAAAGAACTAAAATGCTGAATACTAAGTCGCAAAAGATGTTATACAATCATTCTTGAAACAGTTTTTTTCAACTGAAGTTTGGATTACTTTTCGGTAAAGTAAAGCTCAAAAGACAATTTATTTCGACATCTGATAATCAGTTTGAATATGTTAGCTAATTTTCAAAAAGTCACTTTCTAAATGAAATCGTTCCAGCCTATGCTAACATAATGACATCTGACTATATAAACGACAATTTTGAACTTAATAATCATTAATCATCTGCAGACAATGAAGTTTCCTAGATGTAGTTATCACACATTGTCAATCGTTAGCTTAATGAGATCTTGAAATTAGGTTATAATAAGCTGGTATCTAAATGAATAAGAGTTACTTATTCTACGATTGTTCTATAATTTGAGTGAATTTAACTATTATGACTTGTAGAAACCTTGAAGTTGTTCAGCCAAACACATTCTTTAGATTTTCTGTTTGCTTTATTACCATCCATGTTAATTCTCTTAACAAACGTCAAATATTTTTTATTAACTATAAATCACAGTAATAATGATAACAACTCATCTTTTGAGGGATTTAAACAAATGATCGCTACTAAAACATGATAAAGATTTAAGGTCTGATCTTAGTCATCATAAATAATGAATGAATATGTTAACGGCAACACTTGTGTAAAATAAAGTAGGCTGGATTAATACTTCATTCTGAAACATAGTTACAACAATATTATTTTGGTAAATAACGGTCAAAAAAATACTCGGAAAACTGTTTCTTTGAAATGACATGGAGATTAGAGTTTGAATTATTTATTTTCTGTAAGTCCATAATCAAAAGATTTTGTCATAGTTCCAGATAAATTGCTTACAGATGTTAGGAATGGAATTAGATATGAAATAGAAAGTCTAAC